CTTCTTCCTCTCTCTCTCTCTCTCTCTCTCTCTCTCTCTCTCTCTCTCTCTCTGCTGACTTGTGTTGCTCACTACATACATGTGGGACTCTAAAGCCTTTTCAGACTGGGAAGAAACCCTTACAATTCAATATAGGGCACTGTTTTTATAGCCTTTCCACAGCCTTTCAACATACACAGTTATTAACAACTATTGCTGCCAGTCCTACCCCAGGCCCTGTGAGTGTCTGGAGAGCTTCCGGCAACCCTGTGCCAGCGGGACCTACTGGTCCCAGCCCAGGCACAGCATGGGTGAGACCCTCTTCCACCCCTTGGGACATCCCCCACCACTCCGCAGCACCACCCCCCCGCCCCCCCCCAGGAGGAATTTCTGCCATTTTCCGTGAACCCCGAGATCCAGTCCTAGACCAGGCCCAGTGAGTTTGTGGGAGAACATCCGGCTACCCTGTGCCGACAGAACCTACTGGTCCCAGCCCAGGCGCAGTGTGGGTGAGACCCTCTTCCACCCCCTTGGGATGCCCCCCCACCACTCCATAGTACCACCCACCCTGCTCACGGAGTAGAAATTTCTGTCGCGACCTGGGAACCCCCAGATCCAGTCCTACCCAGGCCCAGTAAATGTCTGGCAGAGCTGCCTCTCACCGTCCTCCACCTTGTCCCCTCCAGACTCAGTTCAGGCCTGGTATACAGGCCTGGGTAAAACCCTGCAGCTGCAATCCCTGCAGAGAGTGTGGGGACAGAACCACCCAGCTACTCCAGGAGCAGAACATCTTCCTAGAGGGGCACAACAGGTTCACCCCAAGGGCAGCAATAGGAAAGAGCTGAGCACAGCAGCCAGACCCAAGCCAGGCACAGCTAGATAAATCCAAACTTTGTAGATCTGCATCTGAACTTCAGCAGGTGCTAAGGCTATAACTGCACCAAAGATCTACAACAAAGGTCAGAAGACAGTGCTACGCAAAATGACGAGAAGGAACAAAATGCAATCTCAGAACCCAAGCCCACCCATGACAAGTGCAGAGGACACTAACAGAACAAATTGGGAATCACACAGCTGAAAGCAAAGAATCAAAGGCTTCTGAAATAAAGAAACAGTTGCAGAAAGGCACAGAGGGACTCAGATTGGAAATTTAAAAAAAAATCCCTGAATTAATAACATCTGCAGTAAAAAAAATCAAATGCAGAAAGATATAGAGAAAACCCAATGCCCACCCAGAACAAGTGCAGAGGATACTAGCTCAGCTCATATGTATGAATTAATAGCGTCGATAGTAAATAAGCAACAGCAGAAAGTCATAGAGGAACTCAAGAGCGGAATTCTTTTCTATTACCTCAGCTCATATGTATGAATTAATAGCTTAGATAGTAAATAAGCAACAGCAGAAAGTTATAGAGGAAATCAGAGCAGAACTTTCTGAAAGAGAAAAGAATTCTGAGAACTCAGAGCATCTGAAGTAAAGAACTACAGAAACATAGGGAGGAAACCCAATCTGAAAAAAACACTGCAGTAAAAGAATTTCTAACCGCTTCTAAAGAAGATATTAGGAAAACAGAACGGGAACAAATAAATACACTAATGCTGCACCTTCAATAACGAGAAAAGGAAGAGCAAACCAAACCCAGAGCCCAAAGACGGGAAGAACTCATAAAGATTAGAGCAGAAATTAATTCAATTGAGATGAAGAAAACAATTCAAAGAATTAAAAAAGCAAAAAGCTGGTTCTTTAAAAGATTAATTGCAATCGATAAGCCCTAGCTAACCTCATCAAAGAGAGGAAAGAAAAAATTCAAATACAAGCAAAAAGGAAAGAAAAGGGTATAATTACCACAGACCCAGTGGAAATTTAGAAGATTATCATTAGCTACTGTGAGAATCTTTACTCTCACAGAATAGAAGATACAGAAGAAATGGACAGATTCCTAGAAAGGTACAAATTACCACAACTGAATCAACAAGATATAACCACTCTCAATAGCCCAATAACAGCCAATGAAATATGAGATGTAATTAAAAAC